CCTTTCTGGCCTTTATATCTTAATGTACATTCACTATCTTATTTATATTATTTTCTATATTATTTTTATATTATTTTTATGTTTTCTTTGATTCGTTTTTACAAGTTGCATTATTTATCTTTTTTATAATCTTCTATGTTTATTTCAACTTTACTTTGAATTCGATTTCATAATGACAATTTCCAATGTTTAATTTCTACTACTAATAATAATATAGTACTCAAATACATAAAGATGATAGTGTCGGGGACGGTTACTCGAGTTTTACAGGATTTCTCTACAGTAATTGATTTTTACTCCAAATTGAATTGACTAAAATGCTTCATGAGAATAAGTTCTTTGAGTAGCAACTATTCGCGGAAATATTTGGCCTGACTAGAATTGCCGATTTGGCTTTAACTTATAACTCGAGTAAAGACGAAACACTTTCATATTTACGTATTTTTATCAATTATTGTTCATTGAACGGGAGTTGGTTTGTTCCCCTTGAAAAGTCAACTAATTTCCGATCAATGACAATAATTACATGTTTTAATTTTTCCTTTTACAATTGAAATATTATTCTTCGTGATGATTTAACTCCAGTCCCCGTTAAAACATTTTAACATTTTGCTTTCAAATTACTTCAAAACATCTTTCAAAATATAACTTACCAGTATGGATGCACACTTTTAAAATAATTCTACTTTAATTAAACTTAGGAGATAATATAATCAATTAATCAATACTGTTTAGGAAATAATTTATATAATATATATATATATATATAATGCAAGAAAGGCAAACTAACTAAACTAAAAAGGACGTGTGAGGTCAAGAATTTTGCGCATTGAGCTGCAAAATTTGAAATAAAATTGAAAAGTAAATTCTTCAAGCTATTGCCTATGAGCTAAAATGATACTTCGGTTCCTTTGCAAAGTATTATAAACACAAAGTAAAGATACAATTGCAATTGGATATGTAAAAACACAATTTGTATGAAATACTAATTAAGAAAATTAGAAAAAGGTGAAAGCTTAACTTGATTCAAACTTAAAAGTTAATATGCATGTAGAATAAAGTTGAAGCTATCTCAAAACATATTAGAAATACTACAAAAAATCACGTTAAAAAATAACTACAACTAAGCAGCGGTAAATGGAAAAATTAGCCTAATTCGAATATCATCATAAACGTTTCAAGGGAAATGCATGGTGAGCTTCGAACATTTATCCTATGAAAACGTTACAGTGCTGCTGTAGATCGTCTTAGTCTCTCTATATTCTCAGGACTATTTGAATTAGTTTAACAATGTTCGTTATTTCATCTTCATGGATTTTATTTTTGAAAATATTTCACATGGTCCTCTTTTCAATGACGTTCGAAAAGTAAGATAATTTTTAAGGATATTGGATGTATGAAAAAGAACGTTATCTTGTTGAAAAATTGCGTTTCCTTGAAGAAACTATACATTAAGCTGTGGAATAAGATATTTTTACAAAATTTCTTTTTGTGTTTGTGAATTCAAACTCTCTATAATTATTTCGATGTACCTACTACAAAACAGATATAGATCTCCAAGCTATTTAAGATGAAAATTCGTAGTTAAAGTATACTTTTTTTTTTTTTGCCTTCTACAAAATTCTGCATGCGAAATGAACCCTGTAACTATGTAGTATGTTATCACTGTTTCTATACAGTCTACAAGCTTTTAATCCGATTTTCGGGAAGCGTCTTCTTATAGCACCGGGGCTTCTGATACACCAAGATGTTTCTACATCCATTTTAATTGACTGGATAGTAATCTACGATTTTTCAGACTCATTCTTAGAAGTGTAAGTCTTCTCGTTTAGAAGATGTCCTTTTACGTCCCCATCTATCTAAACGCTCCGATGCCAAATTTTCATTTTTTGCTATTTTTTTTAATAACTTGAGATGAAACCTTATTGTTCTTTAGCAATATCTTTTTGTTTTAGATAAAATGTATTCAGTAATAGCCGCATCCCTCCCCCCCTTAATTTCGAATTCGAAATTTTTTCTTATCCATTTGAGTTATATAAATTTAGTAAAAAAAGAATGCAAAAATTAGAAACTAAACTTTAAAACAAATACAAAAAAAATGAAAGGAACAACAGCAAACTGAATTGAATGAATACAATTATTTAAATCCAGTCAAAAAAAATTTTTAAGGTTGAGCATTACTCCGCAACGCATTCTTTCGAAACATTTTCCGAAACGTTTAAAAAGACAATCCTAAATACTTGTGATCCTACAAAGACACAGATAACCTGATTTCGAGAAACTGGAACCGTTCACCGGTCGCCCTCCTGTCTGAGTTCGGATAAAATAGATGAAGTCAAGAATAAAATATTGTAATCACCAATGAAAAGTGCGAAAAAGATAGTATCGAAATCAAATTTATACTTTGTAAATTTATTCTCAGTCATAAAAACTAGTTCTGCTTGGGAAAACTCATTTCATTTTCACTAAACAAAAGGCTTAAAGCTAACAATGTTTAGCTTAATAGCATCAACAAAAACGGAAACTTCAAATGATAAGTTTTCTATAACAGAATCGACATGTCATTCATTGATCCAATTTGCAACTAATATCACTTTAGAATTTTCGCAGCTTTTGAAATTCTGATGCGAGCGAATTATGGATCACCTATTATAAACAGAGATATACAGTCGTGCATAAAAAAAAGAAAAAAAAGAGAAAACAGCAACAAAAACAAAAACAAAACAAAAAAAAATCTGATTTACATTATGTCCAAAGGGACTTTTTTAACGTTTTGTGTGTTACCTTTATTTATTTAATAAATATTTAATAAAATATTTATTAAATATCATTATCTTTGCACTTAAAATTCAGTTCAACAGCAATATCTTCAAATAATTTTAAAATGAGCCATCTTTAGAATTTCCGATACACATTCTAGCGCGCTAGAGATAAAATCCCCCCCCCCCCCGTACAGTTTTGCCATTGCTCGCTTTGAAATCGTTGGAGTTTGTTAATAGAAATTTCATTAAATGTTTACAAAATATGAAAACGAACGGTAATAAAGCAAATTCCAAATTTCAAATTTGGGCTTCCAGATGCCCATATTCGGATGGGAAGTTATTCAAAATTTGATGGCTCTAGGTGCCGTTGCTTTATCACAATGCGGAAAACATACATACATTTACGCAGATTCTTCATTATTTAATTTCTTTAAATACAATGAACCGACCGACATTTGTAATGAACGCAAAATACCAAAACGAAATTAATAGTCCTTCTGGGCAAATTGCCCGTTTGGTCTAAAAAACGTTGTATCAGGTAAATCATATACTGCATTAGAAATGTCTTTTTAGCTATAAGAATAATATAATAAATTTGCATAAAAATAATCGCTTTGGGATATTGTAAATTAAATGTATTTGAAAGTATTGTCAATTAGATAAACTATTAAAATGAAATGAAAATCAGTCATTTTCAAGGCGACTAGTTGCATGTGACCTCAAGTTGGCGATCACCAGTTTGGAGTTCCGCAGTGAATTGAGATTGATTAGTAAAGTAAAATTAAACCAAAAGACACCGCTGACAGTCATGCAGCTGACAGCCGGGCTAATGATCTCCAGTGTGGTATAGCATAATGAATTTACGAAGAAGTGCGTTTATTGCTTTCAGCTCAGTAGGCTTGTCAACCAACTGTAGCGTTATTAAATTTGAAGCTTAAATGAAAGTTCTTATATTTTGCCAGAGGGCTTTTAAAAACTATTTGCCAGGCTGAGTTGAAGTAAATCTTATGCTTCGTCAACCACAGCATAAGTGATACATGCATGACAATATTACAGTCAAAAAATCTTGGAAGAATTTCATTAAGGACTTTTCTAATCTCAAAACACTTCGAGGCTATTTTAGACATTGTTTTCAGTGCCTCGCTTAAAAATGAAAAATAAAATAAGAATGGGTAATTTATAAAAGAAGAATGTGTATTATGCATTCAAAGAATCTGTTTGGTTAGAAAATTTTATTGTGTGACTGTTATTTAAAATTACTTCTAAAAATGGGCTTAATTATAACGTGGTGTAAGGTTTATGTTTTGTGGAGAAATTGCCTGCAAATATAATAAAATTCTCTCTCGAATATTTCCTTCAACACGTGAGAAATACATCGAACTGAGATTCCCCAGAGGAGTGCAAAGAGTTATTTCGAGCTATTATATCACTAACATTTTCATTATCTCAGAACCTGAAGTTAAAGGAAAGGAAAGTTAATTTTGATCCTCCCAAAAAGTAATTTTAAATTACATCAGTCAGATGCATTATTAAAAAATAAATTAAAGACTTTTTAGAATAAATCTTTATTTTAATTAATTTATTTTAATAATGCATCTAATTGAATTATTTTAATATTATGCTAATTTTTTAATAATACACTAATCTAACTGAATAATCTAACTGAATTTGTTTTTTAATCATACTTCTGTACAATTTTCGCTTTTAAATCGTGAAGTTCTTGAAGAAATTGTGAACTGATTAAATATGAAAACTGAAGTCCTTACGTTTTCCGAATAGCAATGCTTCGAGAGCTTGCTATTTGGTTATTTGTTACTTCTTTGAAGGCTAGAATAAATATTTTAGACGTTTAACTAATGCGACTATTCTTCCATACATCGCAGATAATGAATGCGTGGCAGCATAATTTAACCCGGCGTAGCGTAGCGAACAGCTCAAAAATTTTGAAAAGACTTCTCTAAAGATATTTCTATCATCAGAACTGTTCTCGGAATAGAAAAAGTGGCGGGAAAATTAATTCTGTATGCAAATCGCGGCAGTAGGAACCCAACCGACAAAAGGAAATGTTTCCTTTTCACGAGTAGCCGTGATATCTTCCATTGAAGTTCTTACGCTTATGAACAATGAACCCAGGAAAAGTTTTCAAAAATGAAAACAACCAATTTGATTTTTAAAGTGAAGTGAAGATAAAAAAAAAGGTGTGTATTCTCTCCCCACGAGGAAAATTGGGACGGATAGATCACGTGGTAGATCCATCACAGACCTATATAACTGGAAAACTTACACAGAGAACTTCATTCTGTTCATCCGAAACAACTGGTTCTGATCGAAGTGTACCAGCCAAAAGTGTTTGGGAATCTATTACTCAGAAAACATGAAGTCTGGATTTATTCTGGTAAGTACGAGGATTAAAAACGGTGATGATATTTTTGACATTGTGAGCGAACTTACGAATTTGGCCGCAGACTCTAAAAAAATATATATACTTGTTTCTTTCTTTCTTTCTTTTCTTTTTTTTTTTGTTTCTGAATTTAAGAATTCTTTAAAAATTGAGAATTGTTATTTATCTGTCTAAAACATAAAAGAAAGCTGTGGGAACACTTTTCACCAGGGTATACTGAAGGCAACAAATACATTTTTTTTAGTAATACTCTTAGCCAAAAAATGGAAATATTTCGAAATACACTGAACATTTTGGCTTTTAAAAAAAGAGCCTTATTTTGTTTTGTGTTAAACCTTATAACAATATTACTTAAAAGAAATATTTCTCCCATTTTTCAGCGTAAGTGTTAATATATTTGACCATAGTTCTTAAATTTCGTTAAAATTTACTTGTTTGGGATTAACTGATAAGCATTAGCAATAAATCCTATTTTCCCCTAAAACTTCTATAAAATTATTACGTAATCTTTCATATACTTTTTCAAAATGAATATGATTTAAAGGCACCTACATGGTTGTTTTAACTATGGAAGGGTGTAATCGACGAAGCCTAAGATTATTTTATTTTCGATATAATAATAGGGCGTTATACATCAGTGCAAGAAATGACTCCTTTGAAAAGTAAATTTAACTGGATTTCTTAGTAAAGTTTTGCAACAGCTACTATTTTATGTCATGAGCGCCAGATTCTTAATGCTCAACAATATGTCACACAAAATACCTTTGATGCAGTTTCTTGTATGTACTATTACTCATCTCTGAAACAAAATCTAATGAAATAGATAAATTTTTTTATTTTAATAAGAAGCATGCAATAATTAAGCATAATCCTTTTTAAATTTTTATTTAAGGTTTATATGCTTTTAATAACATTTTGATAGCTTTGAGTCTTTTATTCTCAAAAGAGAAATGCCGAAACAAAAGCCGATGCTGAAATTGCTTTGGAGTTGGGTCTTAATTTTATTTCATAGAAATGGCTTTACGCAGTAAGATTAATTTTATTTCATAATGTAGTTTATCAGATGGAGCAGCATATTTCATTTTTATTTTAGAATGTAAATGAAGTAAAACTTTTTACCTTTTTAAAGCTACTTTTCACTCTAAAAATTTCGTTTAATATTTTTAATCATGAAACCACTTTAATGTGTTAGATTGCCCTGTGAAGTTTTAGAAGAAAATTTATTTTATCTCAGTTTCTCGAAATTTGCTCAAATTTGTTTTTGCCTGCTTTAATGGAGTGAGGAATTAAATTTACTTCTATAAGTACAATAATATTGTAATATAAATTTTTATGCAATTTTTCGTTAATGCTAAACTCAGAATGTATTTGAAAGCTTTTGAATTGATTAAAAAACTTATGCATCCAAGAATAAAAGAAAAATTTTTATTCTTCAAATTATAAAACTTTATCTGTACGTAAAATCGAGAATACGCGTAAAGATATAATTAAAAAAGAAATTTTAGAAAGAATACTGTAGGAATTACATTCCAAGCAATTTATTAAAAGCACCTTTGAAACTGAAAATTTTATAAACCTTCTTTAGGAGAATGCTATTATTATCGAGTAGGAAAAGGGAAAATTACAAAGTTGCATTTATATGCCTATCTAAAAAAGGCATACATATTATGAATTCATAAATTAGCTTCTAATTTATTTTAGAAGAGGAAGATGTAATAAGAGTTTTGTCTGAAATGGCTTTTAAGCATTAAGTAATAATTAATGTAATAAAATATTATTCAAAGTATGGCAGAATTTAAAATGTAAAAAAGAATATAAGAAAATATCGACAAAGCTCTCACATGGGATACAATGCAATATTATTAAGAATATTACATTATTATAATAATAAGTTTAGGTGTTCGTAAAGCAGCAGCAGAACTTTAATAACCATTCAGAGTGTCTGTTGATCCAAAGGCTAAAAAATAATTATAATTACAGTAATAAAATTCTATGTACGCTTAGAAGCTAATTTATTTTCATCAGTAAGATGGATACTTTTTAATACAAGAACTATCCAAAATTAACTGGTTAAACGCTCTGATTAAGGTTTTAATTGCCCTGAAACCCTGAACCACTTCTACAAGGTCCAGATTTAAATCTTTTGGAACGTTGGTAAGAAATTGAATACAGATATGAAAAGCAAAATCATTTCTTAAGCAGTTGTTGAAATTACTAATGATGCGAAGAAAATGGAGGAGTAGAAGATAATTATATCAGAAATAAAATGAATAAAGCTGTAGTTGAATTCACGCAGTGACAATTAAATCACATTTGGAAAACTAACAATAGTTCAACAGAATATTGAAAACATTTTAAAGGGATATGTTTTATGATTTTTCATTTCATTGCGTCCGATGAATGTTTCGACATGATTTTGCAATCAAAAAGAAAAATATTAACTTTTGAGCCCAGTATATTGACTTTTTAAATTTAGTATAGAAGGAAGATCACATTTGATTATTTCACCATAATGCATACTGTTATGAAGTTTTAAAGACCTCTCGCCATTTTTGAACTAACAACAAACTTTATTAGTCAAAACTTACAGAATAAGTGAAAAACATTTTTAAGCGCGCGCATCGTTTGCGGATAATCGTCTGCGGTAATTTACATTTCTTAGTGGAATTATGTTAGTAGCGTAGCAACGCAAATACGTTACAATACGAAAGGTTTCACATCATTTTAAAAAAATTGTGAGATCACATTTGTGAGATACAGTATTAAAACTAACTATATAAAGCAGCTCAACCGTAAAAGGAAAATATCGCTGTGATATCATTCCATCAAAAATTAAGGCCATATAGAGATTTTTGCACTCATTAATGTGTGAAAGTCTTAAGTCATATGCCTTAATTTTTGCACTCATTAATGTGTGAAAGTCTTAAGTCATATGCCTTAATTTTGCATAATGAAGTCTTAAGCATTTTTGCACTCATTATGTGTGAAAGTCTTAAGTCATATGCCTTAATTTTGCACTCATTAATGTGTGAAAGTCTTAAGTCATATGCCTTAATTTTTGCACTCATTAATGTGTGAAAGTCTTAAGTCATATGCCTTAATTTTTGCACTCATTAATGTGTGAAAGTCTTAAGTCATATATGTCATTATGTGTGAAAGTCTTAAGTTATGCCTTAATTTTTGCACTCATTAATGTGTGAAAGTCTTAAGTCATATGCCTTAATTTTTGCACTCATTAATGTGTGAAAGTCTTAAGTCATATGCCTTAATTTTTGCACTCATTAATGTGTGAAAGTCTTAAGTCATATGCCTTAATTTTTGCACTCATTAATGTGTGAAAGTCTTAAGTCATATGCCTTAATTTTTGCACTCATTAATGTGTGAAAGTCTTAAGTCATATGCCTTAATTTTTGCACTCATTAATGTGTGAAAGTCTTAAGTCATATGCCTTAATTTTTGCACTCATTAATGTGTGAAAGTCTTAAGTCATATGCCTTAATTTTTGCACTCATTAATGTGTGAAAGTCTTAAGTCATATGCCTTAATTTTTCAAGATGTAACTGTTCACCTTTTGCTTTGAATTGTTTATACCTGAGGCTTGGCACAAACATACTCTGTAAATGCAGCAATTTCTATTATGCGAAGAAATAAAAATTTATTAATGTAGAATCTGAAGCCAAAATAAGGATTCTTTTAGAAAGAACGGATTTGACAGAAATAATTTTATAAGGACAGTTTGATTTTTATGAAGTAATAGTATCATCTAATTGTTATTTGCTGATTTAATTACTTAAGATGATGTTTTAAGTAACTTAGCAATTATTAATTTATTCAAGCCATCATCTTCTTTGATTTACTCTGTCATTCATGATTTTCTGATATCTTAAAGTAAATCTTCGCAATGAAAAAGAAGATAAAAATTAGGAAAATATTAATATTGCCTATTTTATTGTAATGGGAAGTTTCAAAAACGCGAGGAGTTATCAACAAAAGTATATTTTGTTTAAACGTAATAAATAAATGCGCTATTACAGAATATTAAAAAGCATTTGTGAACATACGACTAATTAATTAAGAGTTTGTTTCAAACTTAACTCTCCCTTTGAAAGGATACATTTTCTTGTAATTTTTGTTTGACTTAAAGGAAGATTGATTTTGATTATTCATGAAGGATGTTCTAGAAATGTTTCTATAATCATTATTGCTTTAACAAGGCAAGACATGTATATCTAAACACAAATTGTCTGCATTTATTGATATATACTTCTAATTACAAAGTTTCTCATATAGTAAACAATTTTATGTGAATTGTTTTAACATTGATGATGAGTGAGTTTTAAACATATACAATAAAACTTTGTATAGTTTTTCTAAAAGTTCAATTTAAATGTTGTCATAAATTAGACATAAAATGTTCGTACTTTTAAATGTCAAAGCTGAGCTCATATTCAAAAATGAATTTACTGACTTCAATCTTTTTTTATTGCTTAATGAAAAAGATTTCGTACAGATTTTCACGAGATTTAAATAAAAACGATTAATCAAAAATGATTTTTTACGGTTATACGCATTAACAAATGGAAACGTTTCTACAAACTTACTAAAGCATAGTAATTCTATTTCTGGGAAGCTTTTTACCTTTAACATTGAAGCTGTTTCCATAAAATTCTCTATCATAGAGGGTGAAATTTTAAAATTGGAATTTCATACGTAAGATGAATTTTTTAAAAACTAAATTTATAGTCATTTTTAGAAATTAAAACCCCTTTTGAAAAATTAGCCACAGAAGTGTAAAGAACAACAACAACAAAAAAAAAAAAAAAAAAAAAAAAAAAAAAAAAAAAAAATCAGTTCAAAAGATCACAGGATCTGGCCTCATTTATTCTAAATATACCAACTACTTAAAATTTTAGATTTTTCGCCTCTTAATCCGGACAATAGTGTTTCATCTTTTTTACACGAAAAAAACTTTGGCACCGCACATCAAGACAATTCATATAAAACTTTCTGACATTAGTTGAAGCCGATAAATTTGCTAACTGTTGTAGAGACCTTAGGTATTTTTTGGAAGCAGGAGTCATGAAAAATGAACAAAGCCTTCGCCGGGAATCGAACCACGGATCTCTGGCATACGCCTCCAGCAAGCAGACCCCTACACTACGAAGGAACGCTAAGAAGGCGGGAGAAATTCCTTATACTGTAATTAATTATCATATTCACTTGCATACTTGTACACTTCGCGAATATTTTACCGTAGTGTTTTCATTATTAAGAAACTTCTGATTTAGCAAAATGCAAGGTACAAATGCATAGCAATATAAAACATACATCTGGAAAAGGATAGTATCGAAAGCAATATTTATGACAAAATCCTTTGCAGTTATATTAGTATCTTTTACTTATATCCTTTTCAAACTTCTAAGCTCATTTTTTAACTCCATTCTCTAGAACTGATACACACGAAGTAATTTTTTCCTGTTGATTTCCAAATGGAAAAACATACGAATAATTTTTATTACGAGATAAGCGAGTGAATGCAAATTTGAATAAAAGAACTGTAGGATTAAATTTTAATTTTAACAAAACTTTTTCCGTTTGCAGTGTCTGGGGCTTATGATGGCCATCAGTTGCCATGCTAGAATGGCAGAAAAAGTCAGCGAGGATGACGACTTTGTTGTCTACAGAATTCCTGTAAAATCTTTGGACCTTCAGCCTCAAGCTACTGGATATTATGAGGGCATGGAATTTTCTCCTAGCCATGGCCGTTCCTCCAGTAAGAGTACTAGCAGCTCCAAGAGCACCAGCAGTTCCACAGGCTCTGGCAGAGGCAAGGGTTATGGGCAAGGAGCTTCGGAAGGCCACGGAACCGGTCACGGCGGTAGCGGCCACGGTTATGGAGGTGGCAGCTCTGGTCATGGTCAAGGCTACGGTGGTAGCGGAAGCGGATACGGTGGCAGCGGCAGCGGATATGGCGGAGGTGGCAGCGGCAGCGGTTATGGCGGAAGTGGTAGCGGATATGGAGGCAGTGGTAGCGGATATGGTGGCCCCAGCTATGGACATCAAAGAGGTAAGAGAAAATTTCAGAAAATTGGAAGGGAAAAAGAATAAATAAGTTCCCAGTTCTAATTATTCTGGATTCATACACAGTGTGTCACTAAGTTTTAGGACTCAATACATAAAAAGATGAGATATGAAGCAAATAATTAAACAACTATTTATCCTTCTACATACACACCTTAAAATGATATATATCACTTGGCATAAAGCTGTAGGCTTGCTCCATAGTATTCAACACTTGGAGGCTTGATCAAGTGATCAATGGTTATAGTTTTTTTATTTTGTGAAGGGCTCTTCAAGTAATGTTATTTGAGATTTCATTTCAAGAAAGTAGAAATAGATGCTTAATGACTTCTTTATTCGCTATAAGTTGATTGCTAATATTTACAGACTTCTATCTATTAGGTCTCTGATTTCGAAATGATAGGTTTCGGCTGAATTAAGTGAGTTACGATTAAATTTCTTTCTATAAAAGGATGATATTTAAAGCTGAGCAATTTGTCTTAAAATTTTGCAGAGACACTGTGTTTGAAAAGGAAAAACGTGTAATTTTAAACACAATGTATACTTCAAATTATAGTTAATTTTTACAGTGGATTACATCATTCTAATAATTCCATTAAACTATAACCTTAACTTAGTTTTCGAGAACTAAAATAGATGAAATATGTCCTTCAGAAAGAAAAAAAATTAACATAATTGTTATGAAAACAACCAAACTTTTATCAAACCTAAGTATTAAAGTTTATGCAAAATAGAAAATTGAAGTTTTAAGCGTTTCACATTTGGAAATATATACATCCAGAAATACGTTTTAACTTCTGATGAATCACTGGTAAATTTTAAAGAACTTATGCTAGAGGCAGTTAGTCAATACATTTTGTGTTATTGAATTCCTAGTTTCTGTGATAATATGATAATAATAATCTTATCGCCGTAAAGGATACCGACAAAGGACTGGTCATTATCCCCTGAGGTACGAAGGCTCTGATGATTACAGCTCCCCCAGTTACCACAGAGGTAAGGATAGTTCTCCGACAAAACGAATAGTCTCACTTTCTTCACACTCATTCTGATTTCGATATCTTGGTTTTGGTTAAGTATCATACTTCTGATGAATGGGTCCTGAAAACTTTGACTGAAATTATTTAACAAAAATATATTCTTTCTGAATTTAGTTTCCACAATTGTCTTTCCCTGAATTTTCTAACTAGGACGGGATATCTATCTATTTTCTAAAACCACACAGTCTGTTTGATTTCAAATATATACTTTTCACTACTTACATCTTCGTATATGGACTTTACATTTCTGGTCTTTGTTGTTAACAACATGCATGAATTAATAAATTAACAGCATTTTTTATTTTGTTAGTAAGAATAAATTATCTTCATATTTGTAAATTGTAAGATATTCTTAGTTTTGTATTCTCCTTTAGAATATAAACATACATAAATGTAATATTTAGAAATATGTTTAAAAATAAATATATTGATAGTTCTGTGTAAAAAGTGAGAGGATCAATTTATAGACCTGAGTAAAAAGTAATAGGAATAATATTTTTAGTAAAACGTGTAATGCGAAATTATTATGTTGAATTTACAGTAATCCTCTAACAATAAATGCAATAAATAAACTTCCAAGTGTTGAGCTAATTAATGATATGGATCTAATTATATATAAACTGTTTAACTTAAAATTAGCTAACACAAATCTAAAACTATTCAAACTACAATAGAAATTGTAATTTAGGTTTTATTAGCATTTATTGCCCGAGAATTTAACTTGCAGATTACATTTCTGGTTATAAAAACCTCTGATACCTCTTTTGGAACGGTCGACTTATTATTAATTCGTGAGTTTAACTAGCGTTATACAAATCATTCCAATAACATTAAATTCAAAGTACAAGGTGTCTAAAAATGATGAGGTTTGACTTTAGCTTATGAACGCCTCTTGTCATTCTCAGAAATACCTTTACTGCGGTTAGTAGCTGATTCAAGAAAGGTGTAAGAAATTGTGATATTCCTCTCAAGCGTACCCTTGCATTATAGTGTTTAGCACGTCCAGTTGGCAACGTTTTGATATGATAAGTAGTTAGGGCAGAGTAGATCCGTGGTGAGGGCAGAGTAAGTTTTCATATTTCCTACTCCGAAGAACCTAAAAGTGGTTATAAAACACGTAAGAAATTAAAGGCACGTCTTCTATGTACTCTTGTGATGCAGTGGATAGCTCTCAGCTGGCAACTGATAAATTCGGATTCAGTATCCAGTAAAGGGACAACAGATTTTCAAGATTTCCTGCTCTTAAAATTTCAATGGTGTCTACATGTATGCATTATAGTGTTTCTATATGAGCACCATTGACGGTATGTACAATCGGACACATTAATATAAACACTAACCCAATGGGAAATTATTCAGCTTCAGTTCACGCGACAATCAGGAATACAGCTTACAGTTAGGCACAGGTATAAAGGGTCAGGTACTAGAACACACTCTTTGCGACCTCATTGGTCGTACATTTGTAGTCTTGCCACACAAGATGATAAGCTCCACCAAAATTTTGATGGAGAACACCCCGGGGACGTTCTTAGGGGTTACCGCCTCTCTTTCCCTACCATGAAGCCACTAGTGGGATTTTTGGCCTGCCGTATATTTCTTGTGTTCCCATGCCACACAGATATTTACACGCTTACAAACATCAAACCACAAATGAATGATACAGCAGCCAGGAGCGCTAAGTACTATATCAATCAAGACATGCAATGATAAGTTCTTACAGTAAGTCAGGCTATTGAATCCTTTTTGCTATGCAGACTAGGATTATCATACATCCCCAAAAGAGGCAGTTTCATAAAAGTACGATTCAGGCTACATAAGAGCCAATGAAAGGAGTTTTTTTCGCCCACACAGATAGAAAACCCCCCTAATGCTCAGGCGACCTATCCACAGCTCTTGAAAAGCTTTGTACTGCATCTTTCATCCACGTTGTCCAGGCAAATGATATTATACTCGGAGTTGTCGATGTTCTCAATTTCAGAAAAAAGAAATCTCATTACAGCCTGCCGTTGACAATAGCGTAAAAGCCTATTATTTTTCGGGCACCTTGTATTTAATCTTAATTTTAAAAGCTCACGCCTATTCTCTTCCGAAGCAGTTGCTAAAATATTAAGTGTATATATTTTTCGGTTATTTATTGAAACAGCTACAACACGCAACTACAGGTGAATATTCAAGATATGTGTCTTTTTTTAAGCAGAAGACAATCTGTACGATTTAGATAATAGAATTGTAGTTCATAATTGTACACAGTTAAAAGTTCTCTAATTAGTTTAATTCTGACTATAGCTAGAGGTAGCAATTTTCTATGGAATCAAAGAATTTCACCCTCGAGGTAACTGCTAAATTGAGTCAGTTTCTAATTTATTAACGGAGAAGAGAGATACTTTTACGAATATGCACTTGATCGTGTTCTCTTTTCTGAATTCTCGTCAGGAGGGCAAGCTAGCTACACTCCCGGCGGATACGGAGGCAGCACCAACACCCAACACTATGATGACGATGACCACGACTATCCTAAGATCGTAACCAGCACCAAATCTTACACCACTAACAGTGCCACAAACACTGGCATTGGACAACAATACAGACAATCTGCTGCAGACAGTGTGGGTGACATTAACTTCAGATTGGGTGACTACTTGAAGGATGCTCCTGGACACGAGAACAGTCACAGATATAGTCAGAAGTTGTACGAAGGTAGGACAATCATTACCACAAGCCTCCACTAACATCTCAGATCTTTTCCACAAATAACTTTCGCATTAAGACCTGCAAGGCTAAAGCAGCTATCACATTCATCAATCTCTGATCATACCCAAAGTACTGTTTGGGGTTTTCCAACAATCGTTTTTCGTAATGTCTTAATTGGCAAATTTTACAGTAGTTGAGCTTTCTAATTTTCCACAAAGCTTGACTTTATGTTCAGTTACAAGGATCTTTAATGTTTATTTATAGAGCCATATACTTCCTTTCAAACATGCCTTAAAATTTTTAAGTACAACTTCTCTTAAGCCTACCCATTTTCCACTGTGACTGACCTACACTCAGATAAGTATTTCACTTTCACCCAATAATCGTGCCATTCTTTCCTAATTTTGGATAGCTCATCATTTTATCTTGTAGAACTTCGTAGGAAAGACGTATATCAGTTTAACTTTTAAAATTATTCTAATTCAGGTTAACAACGAGAAATAAGATCCTACATTTTTCCCCGCAAGAAGCAGAAGTATTGCGTAAACATTAATTCTGGCGTAAATTTAATTTTTCGGCAGAAATCCATTCTTTTTGGCTAGTGCCATTCTATACAGAATTGTTTAGTGTGATAGCAGCTTTAGAAGAGAACGTAAAGTCTTCGAAAAGGTTGAAATAATTTTGAAATGGGAATATATTTAAACTTTGATCTCTTCAAACCAAATTAAAAATCTCTGGTATTTTATTCCTTAATAGAAATTATATAATTGAGAATAATTTATAAAAGGAAATACAAAGGTATGTAACCGATATAAGTGAAGCATGTTATATGGACTCAACGTATTCATCCTAAATTCAGCCCTATTTTAGCCTTAATACAAATAAAAAGATTGTATTTTAAGAAATAATCTAACAATCTGCTGTTAGTTAAGAAACTGCTGAGACTTTTCATGATTTTAAGATCTAAGTTATTTTGATTAGTCTAAAACAGTCTTTGGTAGTGCAATTCAACATATGTTATGAAACAGAGAGAGCTTCGGAAATTTGTCCTTGGGGTTACAAGCATTACTTTAAAAAAGGACAAATTCTTAAATCCTCTTTCTTCGGAACATTTACCATTTTTCTCCTGCTTAAATTACCCGGAAATGCAATCTCAACTAATAAACTAAATTTTTCCTGATACTGATATATAAAGAAAATGATGTAGTAGCCAGATCGTATGCTCCGGAAAACATTATTCTAAAATCTTCACCTGAGGAATAAACCTTCTTCGATGCCTATCCTATATTCCAAGGAAATTATCCAAACTAATTGCTAATTGTACTATTTCTTTTCGCGAATGCATTCACCCCTGTCTTACAACAAGTTTATAACGTATTTCTCCCGCCTTCTTAGCGTGCCTTCGTGGTGTAGTGGTTTTGTACGCTGGGCTGGGATTCCAGAGATCCAGGGTTCGATTCCCGGAGAAGGCGATTGCTAATTTTTCATCTTGCCTGCTTACGAAAAAATACCTAATGTCTCTACAAGTTCTTTTTCTTCTGAACTGACATAAAGGTTCATCATATGGCCTGTACTGAAGATTTGTCTAAGTTATAAAGATTAACAAAATGAGTTTTTAGGATAAATATGTACACTAAGGGCCGTGCATATTGGATAGTGTTAAGATTCGATTCGTAAGTCACATTATAGATTTGAGGTTGGTTAGTACCCGTAAATATATGTAAATTCGATCTTTCTGTATTTAAGCTTTTCTTCAACATTAAATTCCTATCTGTTCCAGGAAGGAGCATTTTAAAGAAAATATTTTAACGAGAGCTAATTGCCTCGAAAATCATATTTGGTGAAAATACCCGTAAATACCATATTTAGTAGTTATATCAATTTTATTTATAAGGTTTGATTATAAATGAGTACCAGCATTCGAAACGGACGACATTTTGACGAAAAGCGAGAAATGATAATGAAAAGAGATAGTCCTCAAAGTTAATTCTTCTTCTAATTAGCCTCGATTGCCAGTGGTCATTACGATAGAGATCGTGAAGCTGCTATCTGTTTGAGAGTCACTAATATAATTGCTCATCATCGTGATGCCGTCATCTCATTGCGAGTTATTAGTAAATGCGAATTTACTGTATAAATGAAAATTTAAAAGCCAATATATTAGTATTAATTAACAATGGTATGATGTCTTAACCATAATTGTTGCAGTGGCCGTTACGGAACATTATGACAATTCAGAGCTACTATAAATTATGACATTTTAAAGTGGCTGTTAACTTTCTCATTTCTTGCCATATATTCCCTATAGTCGTCATCCATAGCGAATGTGCGAAGTTATTGTCGAATATTTTTGGCTTCCGTCCAGAGTTGGTTATAGATGTGTGAGATTTTTAAAAATCCTTTTTTTTATACAAATCAGTTTTTCTTAATACTTTAGGACGGGAGTGTTGTCAAACCTATACACTATAGAAGAAAGGTTTTTTTAACTACAGTAGGATTCCATTTGTCTAACTACACGGATGAAATATGATCAGGCTCACTGTCTTATTTCTGAATTGCACTGTCTTGTTGCACATGTGAGCTCGTGCTTAAATTAACTGCTTTACATAAAACGTGTAATTGAATACGGTTGTACAGTTCCAACTTTGTTAAAATTCTATTTACATTCTACCTTTATAGGTAATATATATAATGAAGAGATATGTAACTACTCTTTTCTGCATTTCAACTTTCCTTTTCCTTGACTTACATATAGGATAAAAGTATTTTCCTTCGTACATGTAAAGGATGTAACATGAAAAAAAGCAATTTTTCCTCGGAAAATCTTCAAGAAAGTCTTAGTCCTTTTGTCAGGTGCTTGCCCTAGTTTGTTAAGCAATCAGTTAAACACATGCGTCAAAAAAAAAAAAAAAAAAAAGATGACTCTTACTTTCAGTAATGTACAAAAAACCTCCTATGGATTATTCATATTTGAATTATATTTCCCTGAGAAATTTCTTCTGTTTTTCTTTTGAATGCATTCAAGGATGTAAAACTACTTTTTACCGTTGATTGTTCAAACTGATAAAGGCATACAAGCGGAGAACAAGCTAATCACCTGCGTTATTTACTAAATTAAAGTTATATACTCGAGTATCTTACCCTGTGTGTAATCACATCGTTCATCTAAGCGTGAAGTTTTCCTTAGGAACGAAGTCAATAATTACAAACGTAGGTAATTTTAGAGTTGAAATGCTTTTAAATACTTGGAAGTAAGTTTAAGCAGAATGATTATTTGCTGTGCGCGTTTTTGAACATGACCGCGCTGAAAGATTTTCATTTGAAGTAACGTTATTTAAACATTAAAACGTTAGTTTGCATCTGATAATTATGGGCATTTATTGAAGCGAAATGAGTAAAATAAATTGTACTTCATTTCTGGTGAAAATAATATAAATAGCAAAATTAAATTTCAGCTCTCCGTTAATGCGAAAAAGTGAGACTTAAATTTCAAAAGGGAAAAAGATAGCTATTTCCTTAATAAAATACAAGAAAATGTCCGAAGTTTTGCGTTAGGCCTTGAAATGCACTGCATATTTTTTAATTAAAGTAAAGACTGAAACTTGGAATTTACTAGTTATTCAAACTTCAAATTTATTTCTAATTTTAAATACACCATTAAACGGGACTTGGATTTCATTTATGATTTGCTTATTTTAAATATGTTTCTTCAAAAGTCAAAAGTAAAACTTTAAATTATATTTAATAAGTACTTTTATTTTAACAAAATTTGAATTATCTGCAGCAACAATAACGCTTTGGCAGTAAATGCAGCTCTCATCCTTTCTTCTGAATTACTCTTTCTTAATGCATCATTTCTTCTGAACTACTCTTTCTTAATGCATCCTTTCTTCTGAATTACTCTTTCTTAATGCATCCTTTCTTCAAAATCTGACTCTTCTGAAATACTGATTCTGCATTTCGATCATCTGAATCAGCAATAGCAGTGTCTACATGATATTCGTAGACTTATTCTCCTAACTATTTTTATAACTCCTAACTTTTATAACTCTCTTTTTCTTCATCCTATTACAATATATTATTCCCTGAGCCCTCGACAGCGTTTGGGCAAAGTAAATGCGAAAAGTAAATTGAAAAGAAATAGAAAGAAAATTGCGGAAAAATTCGAAGTGAAGTCGGAATGTAAGATCTCATTTTTAGGGATACGGGAAATCAGATAACCTTTGAATTGAATGAAGAAATACTGTAATTTTTTTAGAAGTACCGTGGTTTTGAAACAGCTTTATCTACAATGCTTCACCAATGAATTTATTTGCATTGCACCATAGTTAACTATTTGACCTTATATACAAATAAGCATTTCTAAAACTTTTTACTGAGATAAACTTGAAGTGGTATACGGGTGTAAAAGAACTCCTATATAAAATTTAGAACACGAAATTAAAAATTGCGCTTATTCCCATTGAACTCATTCGCCATTATTTCTCACAGAAACTGTAGAGATTGCTAACAAAACCCCAATTAAGAAACATGTTTTAGATGTAAAACTGTAGATTCAGGTTAATTTTGTACTCATTGGAGTTCATCTAAAGCCTTTAATGCAATTTGAACTTTGGACGCTTGATACATGCCCAAGATTAAATTGAATCTAGAGCATATTTTGAAAACATGTTGAGAATTTGGAATGTCCCTGAAATTGTGTTTTTTTAATGTAGATGCAGTCTTTCATAATGTTTCTGATCAAAATTAAATACATATGTACGTATTTTCATCTAGCAGCTGGATTCGCTGGTGGTGACTACGCCGCAGCAGCTCCAGGGCTTCGATCCGGTCAAGGATTCAACGTCAACGAGTTCACCAGGACCTTGAACCAAGGCATGGCTAATGGCTTCAATGGTCCCTCTTACAGAAACAACCGATTTGTTCCCCAGGCTTCTTTCGTCTACCCCACGGCCTACGCCCTTAGACACGCCGGATTCGGATTAGGAGGCTTCTAAATAGTCATGTAAACTGTACATAAACAGGACTTTTGCATCTCATCAAAATAGAAGTGATTTGAGCATGTTCAATAACAGCATGGAAAGTAATAATTTTGTATCATGAATGAGAGTTAGGTGCCTTCAGGCTCACAGTCTGAAGGCTTGTCGTTTGTAAACTTTCCATGGTTTAGGTGTCTGATATCGTAGAATTCAAGTTGCCCTCATTTGGGCAATTTGGTAAATGTGTAGATAGGATAAATTTACGTCTAGGCTTGTTCTGGTGTTCTCTCCTGTAGTGCATGCAGCAAACAAATCAATGCAGAATGAGAAATATTCAACTGCATTTCTTGAAAATGATGTGCACTTGGATAGCTTACAATGCCTGAAATCTTTATCATGTGATTTTACTTTACTACTCTGTGAACAGATTTCTGAACTTATGTTTCTTTCATACTTTCGAATAGAGAATATCACTGCAAAATAGGTACAAGCTCCTTTCTGTTTTTAAAACGCAATTTGAATGAAGAAAGGTAAAGATTATGAAAATTACAAATCAAGAAACATTTCAAAAATAGTTATTTACTGTATTCTAGCTCTATTCATGGGTGAATAGAAATAAAAGTTCTGAAATTTATTCTGTTTATCATAAAGAAAACTACTGTATTCGTTTGTGATAACTAAATGGAAAGATGTGCTCGACGAATACTTGTTTTGTACAAGAATCGAAGGGAATTTTTATGGCATTTCTTTCTTCGGAAGAGGTTCTGAAACTAAGTTCTTTAAGAAATTATGCTCTCCTCCTAGACAGAATGCCAATTTTCTCTTCGGTGCAGTAGTTTTTCTGTTCCATTTTCACAGCTATTTCAGATTCTGTATAAGATTTCATCTCTTTATAATTCATATTCATCGTTTATTGGTTCTCAAATAAAAACTTTCTTTTCTTCTCATTATAAAACGTTTGCGTGTGTTCCTTATTCTTTACTTTTTGCCTTAGCATAGGCTTGGGTAAAAACTGAATCGACCTTTTTTAAACGAATCTAAATAACAAAAACTAATTTTATATCATTAGGATTAAAACTAAATAAGAAGAACACTTGAAATATGAACACTTTAAATTACAGACGAAAATCTCGGAGAACATCTCCGCTTAATAAATTACAGGCATTATCGAATAATAATTTGAAGCTGTAATGTCTCAAGTCTGAACAGGTAAAAAAGAATTACTTTGCAGAGCAAGAAATAAACTTAAAAAAATTTAGCTCTACACAATAATATTTATTATTTTACACTGCGTGTATAAAATCCCACAACATTGCGTTTTATTTTTTCTCGCTGAAGACAGCATTACGCAATAAAAATTTATTGTATAACATGCATAGTAAGATACAAAACACATTTAGTCCTGTGCTTAGCGAGAATGTTCATTAACAACGGCTTTCAAAAGTTGCCACTAATTGCTAAAGAAATATTTTATTATAATTGAATTTAGTATAATTAAGATGAAATAAAAACAAATCCAAAAATATTGCATTTCAGCTCTACATGACTTTTTTTCCTCCCTAAGTATACCCACTTATTAAAACAGATCTTTTCGATTAAAACTATTTTTAGAAATTTTTAAAATTTCCCAAGGTAGATCTCCAATTTAGAGAAATAAATTAATCACTAAATTAGGAATTTCCAGATTTCCAGAAAGCAGAAAGTTCAAGAAAATTAAATCTCTATAGATAGTATAATACAACGATATCTTAATATGTTACTTATACATAATGTCAAATTTTGTTTTTGCTCATTAAACGCCTGAGAACTTCAGCAGTTGCTTGTATTAAAACATTTATTTTGCTTGCTATTAAATCATCTTATTTTATCGGCCTTACGTACTCAACACTTTGATGCAAACATTTTAATCAAAGGATTACAAAGGCCATACCTGATCTGCTGGAAATAACTAAAAATTGAATTTATTTATATTCTTCTTGTATTCTTCAGTTCTTGATGAAGTCAAGATCACGTTGCGTGCTGAAAGTGTTAACATTCTAATAAGTTTATTGAAGTATGGCACAGATATGAATGCAAAGTGGTCAAACTTAGCATCATAAGTTTGAGAAATCTTCCATTCATTTCTTTCATAAAACTGCTTTAAAAAAAACTGAAATTGTAATCGGAAAATATTTACACACAATTTTTGTTTCGTAACGACTATTGATACAAAGATACGTTTCCAATTTGGATAAGCCTTATGCTGTTCGCAAAAAATACAAACCTTAAGATAAAAAAAAAATCTCAAAGGATTCAGATTTTAAATTCGCACCAGAAGATCTGATGATTCTATGATGCGGTGTTTTATATATATATATACAGGATGGTCTTTCTCGTTATATGAACCCCTAGCGGCATATCCAATCAACCAATAGAGTGCGATCCTCCTGGTATTTAAAAAATCAAATATATTGTTTACACATCTTATTACATTAATGCCGTAAATATGCATACGCTTCTAAAGATACGTTTATTAAAAATGCACATTTATAAAAATCACAAAACATTAAGAAAAATAGGTGAATCGCATGTGATACTGGCACCAAAGTGTTTATATATTAGTGTAAACCATACAATATTGTTAAAAATACAACAATATTGTTAAAATTTACAATATTGTTATAAAGTATTTAGGTGGTAGTTTAGATGTGCCCACAGCATTCCCATGTATGGATTTCCACATCTCCAAACATTTCACTTATACGATAGAGGATTATGATCCCTCCTACGGGATTTCAGTATTTTAACATAGCGGCAAGCTGTATACTGCAATTTCCATCGTCTTCGGCGAAACCTCATATTTAGCTTTCTGTACGCTTAGAGCTTATTAAAGCTTGCTAAAAGGACCATATGCCCTTTTTATAATGTGTGTATGTTCATGTGTGGGATTTTATAACTGTGGTGCCCTGGTTGTTCAGGATTCGAGTTTATGGAATTCTTTGGTGTTTTCTTCAGCAAAAGCAAACATTTAGACGAGATAAAATTTGTCCTTTGATAGACAAGTACAGGTTCAGAATTTAGAAAAGAGAAATCTTGTTTGCCAAATATTGTCGTTATGAAAAATACGCTAATGAATGGCCTTAGAATGTTTTGGAAATTAGACTCAATTGGCATTTCAGAAGGAAGTGCAGAATTTTCTTTAAAAGATAAAAAAATTGATCACTTTGAATGCTCTTAATCCTTTAAAAACGGTAGATATCAAATTAAGGTACTTTGAAATCGAACCCTGATGAATTAAATAATAATTATCAAATTGCAAAAAAGCGTTTTGCGTTTTGAGGCATAGATTGCATAAGGATATAGAAGTGAGTAAAAAATATATAAATATAGTCGAGGGACAGCTTCAAAAGGAAGCTGTTGAAGTATATGAAATTAAAGATCTCTTGCCATGTTATTATATGCCTCTTAGAGCAGTGATAAGAGCGGATAAAGAAAATTCTTGCGTTAAAATGATTTTCGATGCGCGCATCATGTAACGGAGAGAATTTTAAATTCTTAAATAAATTATTAGAGTCTGGACCTAATTTAAATCTTAACATATTAGATATCTTAACATCTGATATTTGGAGAACAGGATATTACTTTGAAATTCTTTGCTTTCAGAATGACATTTGTGAAACCTTCAAAATTATTATCATCACACGTTTAGCATATGAGATTATTACCAGTTTATTCATTCTAGCAGCTATAAAAAAGTACCACATTAAAATATACATCACTAGAAAACCTAAAAGTTATGAGATATTTAATTCATATTTATATTATGGATCAAATGCAGTAGAAAAGACATACCTACTGTCATCTGATGCAGTTAAAAATTTAAAGTACTCTAATCTACGTGAATTTTATTCAAATTCTAAGTAATTAAAAAAAAAATGTGGTTAAGAAAACGTTTTATAAATGAATGATTTCGTTGTATATTTCAGGATTTGAATACGATACAGAAAATAACTCTATTAACTATATTTAAAGTCTTTAGAATCACCTTTAACTAGGCTCGTGTTATGTACTAAAAGAACATTGTTACAAGTTACAGCTAAAATCTATGATCCAACTGGATTTATATCCCCATTCATGATTAGAATTAAAATCCTGCTACAATAAACATGAAAAATTCTTGATTGGGACAAACAGCTCTCAAATGATATTGAAACTGAATTTAAGAAATTACTTGCGGAAATAATTCATTAACAAATTATATCGATTGATAAAAAATACTTCCAAAATGTTGATAAGCTAAATAGTGACATTTATTTACATATATTCAGTGATGCAAGTAATAACGCATATGAAATGGTAACAGATTTCGAATATATAAATAAGTTGGTGACGTTAAAAAAAATTCATTTTATCGAAAACCAGGATAGCTCTTCTTAAAAGTTTAGCATTGGCCCGATTAGAATTGATAGGCAGAATAGAGCAGTCACAGCAGATATAATTGCAGACTATCTAACTAAATTGCTTAATCATATACGTCAAGAGATAGACTGCTGAACAGATTCTCAAATCGTATTACACAGGATGAAAGGACCTTCTAAAAAATGGAAACCCTTTGTCTCTAATAGGTTTGCAGAAATTCAAGCCTTGACGAGTCCAAGTGACTGGAAGCATAGTAGTGGTAAGAGAAATCCAGCAGGCTTATTAACCAGAGAATTGAGCGTAAACTCTGAAGAACTGTTCAGTTTGGTGGTTTGAAACAGAATGGTTAGAAGACCAGTACATAAATTTGCCAATTTGACATAGGGAACAGTGAATAATTAGAACTTAGTAGCAAGACGCCTGCTTGTGAAGTTATTGTGAAAAGAGACGAATAATTATTAAGCATAAGAAAATTAAGTGACGTGTTCAAATTTCTGTGACTCGCGGCATGGATCAAGTGTTTCTTTGAAAAACAAATAAGAAAACTACCTGTTAAGAGTGACCAGTTGAGTGCTTTAGAAATTCAACAAGCTGACATATTTCGTGTTCGCAAAGCTCAGTTGGATTTCTTCACACTTGAAATTAGGCACTTCAGTGTCACAAGTCAATTTCTCTGAGCTTGGTATATTCAGCTTGGCACCGTTTCTTGAAGAAAACCAAATTCTTCGAATTAAAAGAAATCGAGTACACAGTTGATAAAAAAATCCAGTTACTCTTCCTAAAGATTCTAAATTTACTAAATTAATTGTAAAAAGAGAACATGAAGATAACAACGTTCTATACGGAGTTGCTCCAACTTTAGCAGAATTGCTAAAGCGGTTTTGAATTCCTAAAGGCCGCTAATTGGTGATGAAAGTTGTAGGAAGTTGTCTGATATGTCTCCAGTATTATACAAAACTAGCGAAACAAATAAAAATTCAGTTATCTAAAAAACGGAAGACAGAAACGCCCCCTTTCCATGTTACTGGTGTAGATTTCTGTGTGAAGGTTGTTCTATTGGAAAGGTTTTGCTTATATCAAATCTTGAAATGGCATTCAGAAATCACGCATCATATTGTTCATGGACGCTATTACATCTGGAACTTGTTTCCTAGATGTTTGCAAATAAATTCATTTTGGCTCTCCGGCGTTTCATTTCAAAAAGTCGAGCTACTGGCTTCTTTCCAGTCATTCTTAACACCATATTCTATCCCGTTCATTTGCACTTAGGCAGTTGAAGAAGATAGATTTGTATTTAAAGCCTTGAAACTAGTCCTGCAAAATTTACAAACATTATGCTGATTGTTATTGTTTAACGTCTCCAATAATCCTTATTCAGTTTGTTATTGTAACCTAAACCTTTTTGGATTTTATCAATACCTAGTGCTAGTTTTTGAGCAATTAAATTATGGATTATTTTAACTTTTGAGTAGGCACGTTACCTCGATATCCCATTATGGTTTCACTGCCAAAAAGTCTGAATACGTCTTGAACGTATTAACCAAATCAAATTCAGTT